CTACTTGAGAATCAGCTTAATACACTCAAAATCGAGTGAAGGCAGCGCGTGCCGCCACGCTCAAGATATACGATCTGCTCGATAAGTTGAAGGCAGAGATGCAGGGATTGAGGGTACACCTAGACCCCCCAAGTAGCCTCTATAGACCCTAAGTATCCCCAAACAGAAGCTACATAGACCCTATTTTAGGCTACTTGGGGGTCTAGGCAGAGCTGGGGGTTTTAGTTTTTGCCGTTCGGCTTAACTTTTCGGTGTTCTGCTGCAGGTGCGAAACCCGCACAAAGGATGCATTCAGCTCAGTGTTCCCCGGGTGCCATTCCTGAACTTATCTTGGAAAACGTGCGGAGGTCGGTTTGTCAGTAACTTCTTGTAAGGCTTTGATTTACTTTTGTTGTATTGAATGAGGGAATATAATCCGAATATCACCCCGATAGAATATATTCCCTTATTCCCTACCAATAGCCCCAGTAAGTTTGAAAGGGTTTGGAGAAATCTCCTCCGTAGCTTGTCAAGCTCTACTGTAGCTGAAACCTGAGCGCCACCACTTTTTTCCTGTATGATAAGCAGGATTAAAACGGTGAAGGCTTTATGAAGTAGGGTCTTTATTATGGTTTTTGGTGAGTGGTTACAGGGCTTCTTGGAAAACATGGTGGGGGTATATATTTGGGGTACAATGTGGGGCACCATAATAAGCTGAAGTCCTACTAGATATAGCCATCCATCCAACTGATTGTTCTCATCATCGAAGCCAAGCATGTAAAACCTACCACGAATTGGAACCTCCGCTCACAGCCTTAACCGGAAGAATTATGTACACAGACGAGCTGACTTTCGGAACCCCTAGCTCTTCAATGAACGCGGAGGGACGCGGTTTGGGGGTTCAGGGGCTGTATTGCTGATGGTGCAGGAGGTCTCTGACAAGAATTGTGATGGTCATAGTGTAAGACCCTAGACCCTAAACGGGAAATAAGGATGAAACAACTTGAGAGTCACAGTAGGGATTTCCGTGGTAGGAACGGATCCATCAGGTTCATGACGCCACTAGTACTATCTTGCACCATTTACCATCCACAAAGTAAAGTACAGAATTACCGTTATTAGGGTCATATGTACATCATATAGGGTGATGGAAGATGTCTTAGCTGGGGGTACTACAGGGTTTATAGGGGCTATTAACCTGCTTATATACTAAGTCCCCCTGACCCTCCAAGTCTGGTTCCCAAGAGAGAATAACGTTATGCCTTCCTTCTGGGTGTAGTACTTTACAAGAGGGAAATTCCTTGGTTCAATCACCAAAACACAGCTTGTTTTTCATTTTGCATACCAGAACCCAATGTAGATTGAGCACAACCCTTGCTGTCCAGTATATACCTCAGCGATATCTTAGGACTGTAGGGACTGTAGGAACTTCAGCGATGTCCTGCATCTGGTAGGTGATCACATCTTGTTATCCCTAATGGTCACTATTACTGGGTGGGGGGGGGGTCCAACTACGGTCTCACTGTCTATAATTAGTAGAGATGATTGTTGCAATACAGACGGTGTGGTCGGCAATATCATGAAGATTGGCTTTCCTCGTTCTTGCTGAGTTTCAGTTATGCAATCGCTGCACTTGCATGTACTCTAGCCTTGAAGCCCTGAAGTCTATGCGCGAACTCCAAAGCATTAATTAGCCTGAAATCCTCGAACCCTACGCCCCGGAGCCGTACATCTGAATCTCTGACATCCCAAGAGTCTACAAGCTAAAGTCCCTAATCCTCACTCACCTCTGTTGCAGAAAATGAAGCAAAACTCCTCGGATCAAGAAGCTGTTGAGGCACGACACCTAGCCTTGTTACACCATCCGTGCATGTTGTGGTTCTGGTTGCTCTTTCAGGTGACTACGGGGAAGTATGCAGGTGATATTCCGGGGGATTACAGCTTGCAGGGCTGGGCTGCGCAGGGATGGTCACCAGGAAAACTCGCTCACTCAACTTCCTCTGAAGCACCAGCAGGTCATCTGAGCTATAGGCTAAACTCCTTAAAGGGAGGGTATATAGGGGGTTCTATAGGGGACTATTATAGGGTCGATTAAGGGGGATACTAGGAGTTTAGACTATAGCTCATCTGGCCGTGGCTTGGGGATTGGTTGGTAGATAATTGAAATAACGGAGAACCCAATGGAAAGCGAGATGGAAGCAGCGTTTGTGTGAGAATCTCTATAGGATTCTGAAGCAGGACGGTGGAGGATTCCTACCAATTCTGATGAGGCTGCAGGTATCGGAGATTTTGCCACGTTTCCCGCGGGCTTTACAGGCACAAAGTTGGTATATTGAAATGCCATGCCTGTAGCATCTCAAAACACTCAGACTCAGATAAAATTGCGAACTCAGTCGCAGAGTCCTGTGCGACATATTTTGGATTCTGCGCAATCATCCCAGGTAGTTGACACAGACGATCTTGTGCTTATGCACCAAGAGCGTGATTGATCTAGTGTTGATCTGTTTTCCACATAGAACTGCGGCCCGCAGACTTCGTTTGTCACACACCTACACTTCGAACCGCATCATGCGGCGGGGCGCCGCCACTCTAGTTGTAGACTCACATTTGAGAATTGTGGAACAGTTCATAGAGACTTATCGTGTGCATACAACGGTACGTATGCGTTTGAGAGAAATGCCATTCACGGACTCGAGATGCACTTGCCAGACCTGTCAAGCCTAATGTCTAGAGATCGATCTCAAACTTAGGCGAGCAGGGCAAAACAAATGTGATATAGAAAAGTACCTATATGCTCCCCCCCCCCCCCACAACCTAGGCGTATACGAGCTTCGTCCATTAAGAAATGGCTGAGGGCCCTAACCGTGAAACGCCAAACTAGGCGAGCAGCCTCGACTTGCAGAAGCAGCTCCTATGCCTCAGGTGCCCTACTACACAACTTTGGAATTTGATTTCTGGCTCGAGCTATGTTTTTGTCGTCAGGGGCGGGGGGGGGAGGGGGTGTTGGAGGGTTGGGCGGAGTGGAGTGGGTGTGGTGTTTTGGAGCTCACGCGTCGCATAGTCGGTAAAAAGGTTTGGCATCATGTGTATGCAAGGAATGTCAACGGCATGATTTCATGCTCGGGTTTTGTAGACTTTAGGGGAAGAAATGATCAATGACAGGCATGTCGTGAAGTCAAGGAAAAGGTTAGCTTCACCAGACTTTCCTTTTTTTGAGCCCATGAGCTTTTGCAAATGTTACGGCTAGTGATAGTGAATTCTGAGACAGCATTCCAGGAAGGTTCAACGGACGTTAGATATGACATTGTCGTTCAGCTGCACACTTTTCGGGGGCATGGGGTTTTCAAGGGTAAATCCATGCTTTTACGTTCTCTTGTAGGTGTGCATCCCGATTTCACACGGGTACATTGATAGAAAATCCTACCCTGTGTTCCCTGTATGGTCTGTACTCACTGTACTCAGCCGCTCAACATCTCGACTTGTGATGCAGAGGAGATTTGTTGATGTGGCGGTGGTTTTCAATTCAGTCAAGATGTTTGCAGGTCGGTTCGCATCAATGATTTTCAACATCGCCAATCACTTTGCCTAGTTCCGCAAGGTCCATGTCCAGGAACATGCAGCTACACCCTTTAGCCATTGAACCCTCGGGCCCCAAAACGTGTAGATCCTAAACCCACAACCCATCCCTGGATGATGGACAGGCGGGCTCACCGTGCGATGATCAAGTTTGCAGCGCTTGAGCTGCGTTTGGTTACTCCACAGGCAAATGAATTGCAATATGGAGCTTTCCCAAAATTCGGCGTTCCTTGTAAGGGGATCCCTAGAGCCTTCGAGTAAGAATTACAGCTTATTGGGGTCCCTACCATAAGCTTTGGGAGGAAGCAGTGGTCGTGGTGATGGTGGAGGTGGTGGTGCTGCTGCTGGTCCAAAGCACTCAAGCACTTAAACCACATTGCGCACGCTGAAACCCTGACACCCCGAACGTTGAGTCCTGAGGGCCCGGAGCCTCGCACCCCTAAAGCATGCCCCGAGGCAGGTCCGAAAGTCAGGCGCCAGCCCAACATTCCTGAACGAAGTAGGACTTTCTGACTGGTGGCCCTTAGCACCTAAGCCTGAAGAACTTCCTACCTAAGCCACCAAAGGTTTTGGCATTCCATGATCCCTGTGTACCAAACGGCTCAAGTGCCCCAGGCCCTACCACATCAGCCCTTAAGTTCCGATTGAGCGGTTTAGGGTTTAGGGCAGCCTGAAACAGGCGTCAGGCGCACAAGGGCGCTTGTCAGCTTTGATCTACCATGTGCTCAGCAAAAGGCGCTTTTTCAAGGTAGGCTACTTTAGTGACCGCAGAGTACTGCCCCAGAAACCCTGGTCTTCGGCTGGGTTGCGGTTAAGGAGCTTAAGCTAAGTAACCATTATATGTATACATATATATATACAGAGAGAGAGAGAGAGAGAGAGAGAGAGATATATATATATATATAGAGATTGCATAATGGAGTTTCTTCATTATACTCAGTAAGGTAGCTGAAGTTCCTTAACTAGAATGCTACGTCAGCAAGCCCAAGGGCCTTGTCATATATGGAAAAAAGGACTACATAGGGGTTATACAGGAAGTACATACGGTAGGGTTTTATGGGGATTATATAGGGGTTATTTAGGGGTTGCGTCTGGATTTTATACAGGGACGTGCAGGGGTTATGCCAAGGAAGTCCGCCGCTTAGCCGAGATCGCAGCGAGGAAGCTTACGGAGACTTACCGGGCATCAGTGGCAGGGTTTTTCTTCCAAGTAGCTCGATAGCTTGATGTTGAGGTTTAGGGTTTCGATTGATGTTGGGAATATCCGCACATGTGTGTATTGCATTCGCGAGACTTCAACTAGTCCCACGGGAGCGCGCCGGGCCTTTTTAAGGGGCAAGCAGGAAGGAAGATCCCTTGTCCGAAGTCTGGTTTCAAAGCTTGCTTCAAAGCTTTTGGAAAATGTTTAGTGGTGCTACGTTAAACATGCAAAAGTTCCTGCCGACCTAGAGCCGGCAATGGCCGCAGAGGCGGACTGAAGCTGTGCCCCGCCATACCCACGTCCATGCAAAAGTACCTTGGATTCACACGCTCTCCCCCTTGACGAGGGATAACATGTCCTCGGCAACACCTGTGTGTCTATGCCGGGTAAAGGTTTTGAAGAATGACACGGCTGACCCTTTGAAACTCAACTCGAACCTCAGCGTCAAACCTAAGAGGGTCCACCCTCAACTCGGTCCTGCCCTGCCATCTTCGTCTTAAATACGCCCTAGAGCGCGGTGGGTCTACCCACAAATCGTCGATGACATCTTGCGTGCCATCAGCAAAAGTCACGAGCGTCCTTCGCTCTCCGGTCAAAATTTCCTGGTCAAAAGGTAGATTCGTGTTTTCAGGGGAAAACAACCTAACCCTAGCTTCCCAGTGCCAACGAATCAGAACGTTTAATCTACCAGACCCAGGATACTCGTAAAAGTCAAAGTGGTCTCCAGGAACTTGGTGCAACGAAGAAATGTCGCCTCCCCAAGCTGAGCGCCTAAGGCGCAGCTCCCTAAGCGAAGGCTGCTGTGGAAGATCCCAGAACACGTCAAATCTTAGGGGCGGATTGGGAGGGTTGTCAAGGTAATCCCGGGCCGCCTGCACCAAACGAGTCACATCTTCCGCACGGAGCTCATCCTCGAACCTTCCGCGCGCTTCTTGCTCTTCCGGCTCGGGGGGGCGGTTTGGCGGTGCCTGTACCGGTTCACGTCGCTGCTGCACACGGAGCCCAAATTGATTTCGGCGGTTGGCAGCTTGACGCACACCCTCATAATCTACTACCCTAATCCTATTCCCACCCTCTTGGGGGTCTATTGCGGCTCCAGTGTCCTCACTCTGCGGACGCCCTCTAGCCCTTAAACCCTCATTTTCGGGGAAACCTTGTTGGGGGACCCTATCCCTAAAGCCCTCAGCTCCAGGGAGAGGAGCCCTAACCCTAAGTCGTCAAAGTCCTCAGCCTCAGGGAGGTCTGGCGGAGGTTCCTCCTCCGGGTCTGGAACTTCTAATCCCTGGCAAGACGGCTCCTGGCACAGCACACCTTGGCGCCTTCCCAAAGCGCAATAACAGCGATGGTCCAAAGCCCTAACAAGAAGATAAGAGCCCAATCCCCAGGATCGTAACGTGGAACCTCAACCCCTGAACCTTCCCTAGCCCCATCCACAGGATTTGCGCACATAGCCACAACCAAAGCATACAGTGATCCCGCGATTCGCTTCGCTATACCCTGGCCCGAACCTGAACTTGACCCTCTAGGTTCAACCCCAAGGCCCATCAGCTCCTTGAGCCAATCCAAGCGTCCCTTCGAGATAGTCTTAGTCCCTGCATCGGCGACATTGTACTCACCACTTGTATGAGCAGCCTCCCACTCGAAGTTCTCTATCCTTTCACGAAGAGCATTTGCTCTGATTCGTAAATGGCGTGTTCGCCAAGACGAAGCATCGCAAACCAGTATGCCGATGGCTGCCATGTTATCGTTTAGGATCTGGCAACGAACTGGATCCTCTGGTCGGATCTCCTTGATCAAGGGAATGAAGCTCTGGCCTAAGTTGGCTCCAGCAACCGTCGCCACTAACTCAGCTTCACAAGTGGACTGAGCCACAAATGCTTGCCTTGAGCTCGTCCAATGCACGGTGAGCCCGCGCCACATAACCACTGCAGATTCTTGGCTTCGGGAGCACTCCGGAGCGAAGCTGGCATCTGTATAGACTTCCAACAGACCGTGGCGTTGGATGCCCCGCCTTTCCTGGCTCAAAGGTCCTGAGTCTTCCAAAGTGTAGACCAAACCTACATGGGCAGTTGATGCCACGTAGCCAACCACGCCAAGCGCTGCCTCCACCGTAGCTGTCGGCCTTCTTGTCATCACTGCAGCCAACCTGGAGCAGGCGTATGATAGGTCTGGTCTTGTCCGTACCGACAAGTACAGGAGCTCTCCTATCACTTGCTGACACTGACGTACCCGAACTGGGCGCACTTCCGGCTCCGGCTCCGAGTCCAGTAGCGGCTTCAACAGTGGTACAGCCTGGGGCTGGAACTGACCCTCGTACCGGCTGACGAGATCAAGGGCGTAGGATGCTTGATGGACATACAGCTTTGTCCTGTCTTGACTCCACTGCATCTCCAGTCCATCGAAGCGCACAGCTTTCCCGGCTTCTGCAGACACAACACGCTCCAAGTCCCCACATTCCCAAGTGGAGTTGATGAAGTCGTAGATGCGGTCAATCAGGTCGCCATAGCTTCCACCCAAAAAATCATCAACGTAGATCGCCAGCCAGCCTTGGTAAACGTCGCCAGACTCCTGCGTCTTGCGCACCAAGATGTACCACACCGAGGAATCTACCTTTGATTTCTGCAAAGATAGAATGCCGCTTGGCACAGAAAGGCGCACCTTTGACAGGACATCCGTGCGGTGGTGCGTCCAGTCTCGTGGGCTGGTGTCCAACCCGTACATGGCTAGCTCTACTAGCCAGAGCGTCTCGGCCGAAATTAGGCCGAGACGTACGAGCGCCCGCGGGCACAGTGACTTGCTTCTGGCCGGTCCGGGCGGCTCTTAAGTCCCTTGGTTGAGCCGGCGCGTTGAGGAAGGCAGTACTCACATCCCAGCTTGCTAGCTGGAACTGTTCTTTGGTGGCTTCTGCAAGTAGGAAGCGAAGAAGCCCTATGTCGATGCCTCCTGCATACGTAGCCACACGTTTTTCGAGAGCGGTCTCCTGAGACTGTGGCAAAGCATTTCCACAAAGGACGATTCTGCATTTTCTCCTGGCCGTAATGGCCTTGATGGTGTAGACGAGCTTTGTAGGGACTCGCAGCACCTGGATGCCAAGAGCCACCATGTCGTCCACGTCCTTCTGGGTAATCTCACGAAGGGCCTTCTTGGTCTGCAACAAAGCGGTGAGCTCCTTTACAGTTGCCTCCAGCCAATCTGGACCCCATTCCTTCAGAACCTGGTCCGTCGGAATAGTCCTTGTTTGCAAGACCACCTCGTGGGACTGCGGGCCAACGCCAGTCTCTTCTCCCTCAATCTCGTCACGCAAGCTCTTAAGCCTGAGGAGTTCTTCTTCCACGGCTCCTACTTGACGAGAAAGCTCACACAACAGCGGCAAAGTACTCAACTCTCCTTCGCCTAGGTCTTCTGGCGAATCAAGCTGCCTCTTCAACACAGCCCGTTCTCGACCCATCAAGCCTTTCAAGCTCAACTGAAGCTCATCAAGCTGGCCACATGATCAATGACATCCAACTCTTGCTTTGACAGTCCGACGGCAGGGACTACCGGCACTTCACAACTTACCAACTCCCACTCATGATCATCCTCTGAGCTCAAAGCCCTGAGCCTGGAGCAAGACGGACCTACTTCAAACTTCAAACCAATCTTCACTGCTGTCAATCAAGGCTTCGGCTTCCGCACTCGCGGCTACACTAGGAACGGAGCTCCCCCCAACGTAAGCACTCTGACACGCGAGGCACTCTCGATCCATGCAATCACAGGTGACCTCTTGGTCACGCAGCTCGAAAACCCGCAGGGCCCCTGACCCGGTGGCGTTTGGAGACAGTACCTCCCTACTTGAGGCTGGTTTTTCGCTCGCAGCGCTCCTTCCCACGCCACTGCCCTGACAGCCCTCTCCTCCACGCCATCGCCCTCCACCAACTCCACCAAAACCCTCAAATTTTCCTTTTTAATTTCATCCCCACCTCCTAATCCAAAACCACAGAGTCCTCCCCCCTGCTGACTGTCAGCAGTTGGTAGCGGTAGGCCGAGGGCCGTAAGGTGGTTTGTTAGGGCTTGAGGGGCTTTGTTGATGGCGCTCAGGGAATAAGCTGACAAAAGTAGGGATTGCCCTTCGTCTTTTGTATAGGTGGCGTGCCAACGACGCGCATCCAAAAAAAGAGGCTCAAGCAGTTTAAGCAACGTGGTATGGCCTACTTTGGTTTGGGAAGGGGTAACCTCTAGCTGCTCGAGTGGTCCTTGAATGACGTCGCCTACGGTAGCCTCGGTCCAGATGGTGAGGCCTCTTTTTGGAAGCTTCAAAGGGAGCATCAGGTTACTTGAGGGACGGTTGCTCGTATCCTTATGCGGGGGAATGCAGGTACTTGAAACCACTGCCAAAGAGGTGTATGCAAAGGCAGGGGCCACAGCCTCAATCATCCTGACCAACAAAGCAAGAAACCCTGGGAACCGCCCTGAAGCCTGAGTAACTCCCAAGACCCCTCCATGCCTATACATCCCCAAAACACAATGCATTGCCGAACGAGCCTTGGAACCCTTAAGTTGTGCTGCTGCTGCTTTGGAGCCCCAATGAGACTTGCAGAGGAAACTTCGCGCCCGGCGCAGGTCAAACATGGGATCTTGAGCAATCATACTGGCTTGATGGTCCTCGGCTTGGAGCACATCCTCCAGGCAAGCAGTCCTTATCCCTGGATGAGGAGCAACGGGTTGGTCACTACGAGCACTACTTGGGGAAAGGTTATGGGTTGACTCCGCGGGGCGAGCTTCAGTGGAACCTACTTCACTTCTTGGGCTGAAGGTTTCCTGACATAATGCAATCGTAGACTGTACCGGCAAGCTAGAGCTAGGCTCCAATGCTATCTCAGCACACTTGGACTTTCCCGTGACCCGATGCGACGGCGCTGGAAGCACTGGAGCTGCATCAGGGGCCTGGTCTCTCTCCCTTATCACATTTGGCTCAGGACAGGCCAAAACATCCCTGTGTAACACCGAAGTGGCCAAGTACTCGTTGTCCACCGTCCGAACAGGCCATGAGCCTGCAACATCCCTAGCTGGAGCCAGCAAGGTTGCCTCCACTGCCTTAGGTTCATGCGCCTGGGCTTTCCAAGACCTCTGTTTAACGAACATTCTTGCACCGAAGGGGAGCATCTCCCTCACGGACGCGCCACCCATATCCAAGAACCTGTCTCAGAAGGCTCTCAACCCCCCAACGCCAAGCGTATGGCCAATCCTCTGAGGGAAGACTTGCACTACGAAGAAGCGTCGTAGTTAATCCTTTTATCCTCCCTATGGCAGCCTCAACCCTCCCATTACGACGGAAGTCATCGGCGCCAGTATATTACTCCAGGCTATCCCTCGCTGAGCCGCCCACTTTTGCGCCGAACTGGCTTGGAACTCCATTCCTTTGTCGGAATGAATCCTTTTGACCTCAAAACCCATGGACCTTAGTTGAGCTTCCATCCGCTGAATACCCAACAGAACATGTGAGCAATGTTTGGAGGGGAGCAATTCCGTGAAGGTCAGCTCTTTACATCAGGCGGCCTCTCTAAGGCCTTCCCCTCTTTATCCGCTACTTCCTCTGGGGCGTCTGGAACACACCACTCCAAATCCTCAGCAAGACCCTCGCCTCCCAGGACCTCTTCAGGACCCCAGACTCCCGCCCCAGCAGCTGAGTGGCCCCGCTTAGTGTCCCGCTCATCAGCCCCAACATCCTCCACGGCATCTGAGTGACCCCGCTTAGTGTCCCGCCCATCAGCCGCAACATCCTCCATGGCATTTGGGTGGCCCCGCTTAGTGTCCCGCCCATCAGCCGCAACATCCTCCATGGCATTTGGGTGACCCCGCTGAGTGTCCCGCCCATCAGCCGCAACATCGACGACCCGCTCACCCCGCTCTGCTTCTTGGCCCTTATCCTCTTTGGCTAG